GAAGAAGCCACAGCTGTTTTTACAGGCCTTCGATCAAACTGCAAGACTCCCTTCTTATGAACTTTCTTTTACTTGGGGGCTTCTGGTTAGACCCATCGTTGTTCAGATGGAATGGTTTTCTTTTGGCTGAGCTGCTAAAAGCTGTTAGAAAATGATTTTAAGGAAACAGAGTATCTCAATACTGACCTAATGATCAATGTATAAGTAACATACTGTATAATAATAAACCTTTGGTCTACAGATAGTAGGCTGAACACTTGGAAGCTAACACGTTGGGCAAGAGTACAGCGTGAGCTCCATTTCAGTGTTACTTCAATGTCAAGATAAGGGACAACATTGTGCCCCCACCTCCCTCCCATGTGTAAAAGCCAACAAGGTAGTTGAATTTTGCTTCAACATTGGGGATGGAGCAGCATTTTCTGCTGTATCTTAAGTCAGCATGCTTTACTTATGTGATACAGAACATGTTGTATCACCAACTTCATCTCTTGAAGTTCTATCATCTCTGTTGATCTTGCTAGATGTGCTTAAGCATCATCATCATCATCATCATCATCATCATTATATATTAAGATCTGTTAAGGTCTCAACCATACTTTATCTAATGGGTCCACTTCTGGTTGCTGTTACAGGGAAATAAATCCATACCCACTGGGCTTACTTCTGAGTAGACATCCGTAGGATTGCATAGGAAGGCCTCTTGATTAAGTTCTAATCCATGCTCTTCAAAGTAAATATATTTTATGCATTCTTGAAGACAGGATCCAAGTTTCAGCCATTAGAAACATGAGGTAATAGGTGATATAATGACCAGAGTCTCTTCATCTGTACAAAAGATAAAATCTTTGAGTCAAGATCAGCTCCTGGTAACTTCACGGACATGTCCATGTGGCTTTCTTGGCAATGATAGAAATCTGGTTTGTCATTGACTTCTTCCATGATATTTGTTCAGCTTCCCAATAGCCTATAGCCCTGAGTACCAACCCGATCTGACCCAGCTTACTTTGTTTAATCTAGATTGACCAGCTGGGCTCTCTTTGCTCAGGTTTATATTTATTGCAAGAGAATTCTAAGAAGCACAGCGTCAACTTCAAAGCTGTGGTTGTGTATCTTTTTTCTTTGGGTAATAGGTTGATCCACATATCTGAGTGTTTAACGTCAGAGAAGAGCACACAGTGAGCTTGACAAACATATCAACTGGAGCAAATTGTTTCTCCTAAGTGAGTCTTTAAAATCATGCTACTTGGTTTGGGGAATATCAAATAGGGACACTTGAAAAACATCTGCTGGCATAACGTCAGTTTAAACACTACTCTTCCACCAAGGTTTCACATGTGAATTTCAACAGAAATGTCAACAGTTCCACCTTGCATAATTCTGATTGCTGGAATTTCATTTGATCTCCTGCAGGGGCAAACAAATGTGCTGTGTTGACACCAATCTATTGGCATAGATAAGCATTCTCCTATGTGGAATGGAGGTGGATAAACCATTCTTGCTGAGCTTCTTTCCATGATATTTCTCGTGAGACATCTCTACAATAAGTAGGAAGCCACAGAGTGAATAGAATTTGATAACACTGAACAAAAGAGATTCAGTGAAGAATAACTCCAGGCAAAAAGTCACTGAGAGGCCTAGACAAACTTGTGAAGGCTAAGACAAAAGTTGGAATGGCCAGCTCAATTATCTCCCCTGTTATGATGTACAGATGTGAGGGATGGACTCTGCATCAGAGTGAGAGGAAGAAGGTTAACTTCTCTGAAGTATGGTGCTGGAGAAAGATGCTTCACATTCCTTTGACAGCAAAGAAAACCAGCCATTCGATACTAGAGGAATTCAAGCCAGAATCCTCGCTAGAAACAAGCATCATGGAACAAAAACCATTATACTTTGGACATATCATGGGGGCTGATGCATGGATGGAAAAGACAATAATGTTAGATGGAAGGAGAAGAAGACACTGACACTGCATGAGGTGGATAGGTGGAGTACTGAAATCCACAGAAATGCACCTGCAAGAATTATGTGATGTGGTCAGAGACAGGACAGTTGTAGAGGATTTCCCCGTAAAATCATCAGGAGTTGGCTACGACTTGACAGAGCGTAATAACAACCGAAACAAACTCTTCTCCGCCGCCCCCCAAGACAAAGCAGACCATTGAAAATCAGGATTTCTCTGGGTGACCAGCCTTACCTTGGCTTTCTTTTAAAAGCTCACACTTCTGTGAGGACCAGGACAGAACCTTCTTCACAATTTTAGGGAAATATCAATGTGGAAAACCTAATGCAAAAACGTTTTCAACCTTGGGTGCACTCTTGATGTATGAACCAATTCTTACCGATGTCTGTACTGGCTGGAAGGTTTGGGAGTTGAAACCCATGTTTCTGGAGGGCTCCCAGGTGGGGCAAGCTAAAGTGATGCCTATGACCTGCAGTAACCCTGATAATCTAATTCATTAACTAATTAATCCCATTTAAGACTGTTTTCCTAGTACTGCTTGCTACCAGAAGAGCAATGAATGCGGGTACCACCTTCCGGTCTGTGGCTGATTGCCTCAAAAGCCAAGCAGGATTGGGCTTGGATGGAAGACCACTGGAAAATCCCAGGGCAGCAGGTTGGACTAGGGAGTTGAAGAATCAACCAGGAGAAGGGCAATGGCCAGATACCTCTGTGTTGCCCAAAAAAATGATATGGAGAAATTTCATGACGTCACCAGCAGCTGAGCTGAGTTCAACGGAAACCTAATGGTTCGCAGTGGGACAACTGATCAGTGAATGAGCTCCAAGAACAGTCAAGAGCATCACCCCACATCCAGGGCACTATGTTGGCAATTACCAGAGTCCATTTACCTTTATCTCAGTGATGACAGCTTCAGCTGTTTCATTCTTGCACAACAACATCCTGTTCAAGGTACAAAGTGAGAGCAGCTGTTTTTCCTGACTCTTATCACTTGGTAAGCCTGCCTCTCATATTCATGGAGATGCACTATTGTAACTAGCTGATACAATAGCTTCTGTATCATCATTTACACCAGACAGTTGTAGGGACTTATAGTATCCTAGACCAGATCCTCAAGGTATATATTCATAATAATTGTGCATTAATTAGAGGCTGAATATAGTCAAACATTCTTCAAAGTGGAAGAAGATGTTAAGAGCTAAGGCTGTTTTCACCCCCAGGTGGCTCTAGTCAAACCGATCATGGAGATGATGATGATGATGATGATGATGATGAAGAAGAAGAAGAGGAAGAAGAGGAGGAG